GTCAGGCCTGTCCGAGGCCTGCTTCGAGGCAGTAAATCTTGTTTCTTCACTCGAGGTGACCCCCTACAGTATTTTGCTAACAGACAAGGCTGACTGTAAGTAGTAATGCCAAAGTTTTAACTTTAGTTTTAATATGATCTCTTAGTGCTCAGAACACGTGTTGTGGGATCACTCTCAGCTACAATTCTGCCATATTTTAACTCAAAATATGCCATCTCTTTTGTGTTTATAAATGTCAGGTAGCGCTAGCGGCCATCTTGAAACAGGATTACTCTAAAACAGGGGTCTGCAACCTTTATGATAAAAAGAGCCATTTGTGCTACTTGTCTCACTAATAAAATGTGTCCAGAGCCGCAAAACAAACTACAACTGTGATTATGAACTGGTGGTTCGTGGGCCTTTTGAAGGCCTTTTTGGGCACCTTTACAGCCAGTGGAGGTGGCATTATAAAACTAAAAAATATGTTGTGAATTTTATTATTTATTATTATTTCTACACATCAGGACAAATGAAAAGACCATATTCAGGTAAACAAAACAAAAAAACTGTATATAGTTTATCCTGAATTTGATAAAAACTAGTACAACTGAACTATTTAGGTATATTTTTTTTCGAATTCTTATTACACTTAGTCTTCAAATTCTTTAAAGGTAATTCTAATGGATTCAAGAGAAAGAAGTTGGCTTGTTTAAGTAAACAACAGGCTAGCATGAGCTAACATGTTTTACTTTTTGTATTAGTAGTATTGATCACGTTTTTGCATTCAAATTGATTTCTGTTGGGAGTGTAAAAACAAACAAACAAAAATTTATTCTGTTATGTTTGGTCATATTTTCAAAGAGCCACAGCAGAGGGACCAAAGAGCCACATGTGGCCCCAGAACCGCAGGTTTCAGAGCCCTGCTCTAAAATTTAATTAGTTGTAGACGTACATCCTGTGATTACTTTGAGAGTTTCAATAAAATCTGTTCACATATACAGACAAAAACATTTTTACCTTTCTCCGTTTGGAAGCAGGGGATTTCATCAGGATTCATTGTCTGTGCGTGTGTGTGTGTGTGTGTGTGTGTGTGTGTGTGTTCAGGATGTGCAGATCGAACGGGAGAAGGCGTCCTACAACGTCTCCGGCGGCTGCACTGCTCTTGCAGTCGTCTTCCTAAAGGGGAAGCTGTACGTGGGGAACGCAGGGGACAGCAGGTGGGATCGACACACTCGAAGAAACAAACTGATTGTGCCACATGCTCACCTCCTCACACACTTTGTCCAGTGAGAGCAGCTGTGTCTCTAAAATAAACCCAGCTTTGTCTGCTCCTCTCCCTCAGAGCTATCATTATCCGGGCCGGGGAAATCATTCCCATGTCAGCAGAGTTCACCCCGGAGTCAGAGAGGCAGCGCCTGCAGTTCCTGGTGAGGAGGAACCTTCTTCAGCTTCTCTCTGAGGAGCGCAGCTGTCTGACCTCACCTCTTTTTGTGACACCAGCACAGTTTCTCCTACGTGGCCTGCTGTGAAGGCAGCTCCGTGTGCTCTGCTCCATTTATCTCTGGAGTCAGGACTTGGATAGGAATATTTCTGCACACGCGAGCTACAGTGAATAAAAAATATCTTACATGTTGGAGGTAGCACTTTGAACACTCTCAGTTTGGAGAAAGAAAAGTGTTTTCTGACCGGTTTGTCAAGCTAACAGCTAGTCCATGTAAGGACTAAAATAGATCTCAGCAGTCTTAAAATAACTTGAAGTGTTAATGTTTATAGCAATAATTACTTTTGTGATTTTAGAAATGTTTTAATTGCTGTAAATTGTTCATGATTATGTTGTTATTTACATGGATAGTTTGTTTTTGGTCCTACTTAGACTGACGGTTGGAGCTTCTCAAAATCAACATTTTTCTTCAAACTGAGGTTGTTAAACATGCTTTTTCCAACAGGGAAGATTTTAATTGTTTGTTTGTTTGTTTGTTTTTTTACATTTTTACCACCTCAAAGATCTGAACAACTTTCTTAACTGTTTCCTTGTTCCAAGCCAGAAAACAAGTTAAATTTGCAAACTCTCAGTAACCAGGCTCATTACATTGTATCGGTATTTTTACTTGTAGTGGTTGTGCAGTAGATTTAATAGCTATCAGTAATGTTTATACAAGGCACTCATGTTGGATTTTGAGGTTGAGTATGGTGAAACATTTATAGGTTAGGGTTACAAAAATTAAAAACTAGTTCAAGTAGCTAATTGTTGTGCTCAGCTAGCATGCTAACTATTATTAGCAGGGTCTATGCATTCAAACACAGCTTCTTAGTTAAGGGCTCGACACACGGGCAGCGACAAACTACAGCGATTAACGGCTGTCATCGCAGCCAGGGTGAAACCCGACACACGGGACGTGATAGCGATTGCAGCGTTGCGAATCGCGCTCTCAGGTCGCTTGTCTTCACGAAATTTTATTGGTTCTTGACTCTGAAGGCGGGTGTGCATTACGGACGTGTAAACTCAACAAATCTTGCGATGCTAATGATATTGAACAACAAACACACATCAAGATACAATTTTATGAGGAAAAACTTACCATAAACTTCACCCTGGTGCCAATAAATTCCCACAAAGCWTTTTAGTAATCACTTGGTGAAAGTGTTAGCACGAAATTTCACATGCACTATTTTCGCCGGTCGCTTAGCTGGAGGAGGGCAAGCATTGTCGCCTCACCGCACAGGCTCCATAAGAAATGAATGGAGAGCGAGCGACGTCGCCTCCCGTGTGTCGAGCCCTTTAGACTCCAAACATTGTTTTTTCAAACATATCACTCTTCTCTGATATTTTTTTTTCGAAGGCATACATGCAGCCACAGTTATTAGGAAACGAATTTACTCATTTGGAGTTCCCGAGGAGAGTGCAGAGGAAGGAGGTGGGGAAGAGGATGTTGTATCGAGACTTCACCATGTCAGGATGGTAGGTAAACTGAGAACTATTCATTAATTATTTTTATTTTTTTTGTGTTGTTTTGTTTTTATATTTCTGGTTTGATCTTCTTCTCTTGAGTTAAAATTCTCTGTGTGTTTTCAAATGTCTCTGCCAATTTGCTACATGATTTGATGTCTCGTTTAAAAACGAAGCTAAACTAAAGTACCAGGGGTAGTCATTTTTGAAGAGATGTTCCAACAGATAGTTATAGTAGCTTTATTAGCCGTGATGTCAGTCATAGAACACAGAATGTGAAGAGAAGGGCAAGTCTTTGTTCAGGTGAGGCCAATAGTAAAACCAGGAGCCTGTTTGATCATTTTTGAGGCTTATGAAACGACTTCTCAAAAATGACATACTTATGTGCGTAAAACGTACCGTATTTATTCAAGTATAATACATAAGATCAAATCCATAAAGTCATCCATAAAGTTGGGGGGTAGTACTATACTCAGATAAATATTTTTACTTATGTATTTTAACTGAAATATCAACTTCATTCACAAAATGCCTGAGTCCGGAAATGAGACCGCGTCCTAAAAAGCAGTTGAAATGAGCTCACCTCTGACACTCCATCGTGCTTCAGAGCGAGATAGTAACAGATCCAGGCAGGTGACATGATGTGAAAAAAAAGGGGAACTAAGTAGTCCTGTACCTTAGTAATGATAGCGAACTAATGACATTAGTGTGTGACCGAGCCGCTTCTCGAACAACAACAAACATGTTCGTCTGTGATGGCTGCCGTCTACCGGTGTTCTGAAAAAGTTTGTATCCCTGAAAAAATGTTTCCCCACCAGAGGGGGCGCTCACGAGTAGGAAGTAATCTGCTTTTCCCCCACAAGATGGCCCAAATCTCATGTGAAGTCTCTGACGTTTGTGTTGGCGCCTCCTGGTGGACTATGTGTAAAATGCCAGAATTCATATGATGCTGCTACAGCTGATATATATTTGTTGTCAAAATACCTTTTAGTACATATGTTGTTAAAATAAAATGAACAGTCCAATGATCATTTTACTGGTATGTATAAAGACTGAAAAGGCTGAAAAACCTTGAAGTCTGTATGAAATTGGAGGTAGTTTGAGGAATAAATTTTTATGCTTTTTAAGCTCAAAAAAAGTGTGGGGGGGGGTCGAATTATACATGAGATCGTATTAAACACGAATAAATACAGTAAATAAAAACAGAATACAGATTTTTGCAAATCCTTTTCAAACAATATTAAATTGAAAACACTACAAAGAAAAGATATGTAATGTTCAAACAGATAAATATGTTATTGTAAAAATTCACTCATTTTGAATTTGATGCTGCAACACGTACTAAAACAGCTGGGACAGGGTCATGTTTACCTCTGTGTTCCATCAGCCTTCCTTTTAACAACACTCAATAAGTGATTGTGAACTGAGGACACTAATTGTTGAAGCTTTGTAGGTGGAATTCTTTCTATTCTTGCTTAAGGAATGCTCAAAAACATCTGTTTGGAGTATTCCACAGCTGAACAGGTTAATTGGAGACAGGTGAGTGTCATGATTGGCTATAAAGGGAGCATCCCCGAAAGGCTCAGTTGTTCACAAGGAAGGATGCTGTGAGGTTCACCACTTTGTGAGCAAACATGAGTAAATAGTCCAACAGTTTAAGAATTTGGGGATTGTATTAAACTTCCACACTTTTGCACAGTAACACAAACTGAACGTCTGTGTTACCAATCACTGTGCTGAGTGTAGACAGACCATTATATGCCCATGGTGCAGAAGCTGTGAATGTATAAACTGAGTAAACTCTTGGACTGGCTCCTTCTGATCAGGTAAAGTGATATACTCAGCAGCCTTCGGCATGGTTTACACACAGTCTGTCCATGATCAGCACACATTCATTAACGCAGAAACATCAATGTTTGATTGCAACAAACTAAATAAAAGACATCAGGCAAAAGTGTAGAGGTTTAATATTAGCTAATGTAGTTCACATCTATGTCATTTTTGATAGAGTTGTTTTATAACTTTTACTGGGGGGGTAATATCTGCAAGAGTTTATTTTTTTTACATTTCATTTCTGAGTGAGCACACATCCTAAACGTACTGTTAAAAATAGGTCCAAGATGTAAGACGATACAGAGAGGACGGCGTACATAAAGAGGGAGAAACAGATGTGAAAAGCAGGAGAAAAGTAAGGAGGAGACGTTGGCACAGACTGAGGGGTTGATTACTACATATGTTTTTGCAGATGTGTGTATGTAGACACAGTATGCAGTATAGTGGCTGAGACAGAGTGAGAGGAGGGAGGAAAATCATCTGAAGACTCGGAGGGTAATGAGATGATGACAGATGAACAGTTTTTGTTTCTGACACCGTTTCGGTTCACTTGGGTTTTGTGGTTCTGCCCAGTTCAGCTGATGTAGTTCAGTCGTTGGCTGCACTCCTTATTGGGCCCAGAACTCTCTGCCTGTCTACGGTCTCTGCAGCTCAGACAACCTATGATGTATTTTTAATCAGTTTTTTTTTCCCATAACTCAGTTCTGCTGCATATTCACCCAGACTCAGTCTGGATCTATGTGGCTGATTGCTCTGATGTGAGTTGGAACTACAACTTTTACAGTTTATATCCAATTGCAACAGTTTTTTTTTAAATATCTCTTTCTGCAGATATCGTTTTTGATTGTCTGTCCTGAAAGTCTCCATTTGTGTCTCTGTGTTTGTGTGTATGTGCATGTGTGTCTTTTGCAAAACATCTCTTGAACCTCTGGATGAATTATGAGGAAACTCTCAGAAAGTAATCATTGAATGTTCACCGGTTAACTTTTGGGGTCACTCCAGTTCAAGATGGCTGCCACAACTAACTGACAAAAATACAAAGAGTCAATTTCACAGATAAGATTTGGTGTGGTAGCAGCTAAGAATCATCCCCAGTGCATACTCTGACAGCAAACAGATTGCACAAAATCATTGTTTAAAGGAGACCAATTATGGGTCCTAGAAATGTTTATGGTATGTCTGTGGGCTATCCAGACCATGTTCATTCAATTTAATGCACAAAATAATTCTCAGATAATAAAATTTCCCATTTTCTAGTTCTGCCTGCTCTGACTTCTGTTCAGAAGAGCTGTTTATGTTAATGAGCTCTGTTGGTAACTCCCTCCAAAAATCTGTTGTCATTAACTCCGCCCTCCAAAGCCAGCGTTTACGTTAGCATGGCTAATAATAGCAGAAGCTCCGTTGTACAACCATATGAGACCCAGAGGCAGAGTCTCCCCCTCCTCTGCTCTGCGCTCACTCTGCATGCTGTTACCAGAGCAGGGAGCAGCAGCGGTCAAAATACCTCAGAAACTCAAACAAATAGGCTTTAACAAGGCTTTAATAAGCTAAACAATAGGGGTACATGAGAAAACTGTTCATAATGAACGAAAATAAATAAATATTTAAATTGTGTCCATGCCGGTCTCAAACCCTGGTCTCCCACTCTCTGGTCCAACACTCTACCCATTGCCCTATTGGAGGCTTGTTGTGAAATGAGCTGCACATTACACAACAACACCGTAACGACTCTTTATACTGAGGAGGAGTCTCAGCCGGGGGTTGCTAGGTAAGGGGCTGAACGCAGGTTCAGGTGGGTTGTCGTACGGCTTGTGACATCACAAAATGACGGAAGTATAAAACTTGTCGTTAATATACATTAAAAATACATTTACTTACAGTACATATGCCCCGGGTGCATTTTTTGGTCCTAGGACTGTTTTTTTTAAGAAGTACATACCCAAAGTTGAGTAAAAAAAACTTTAAAAAGTGAATTTTGCATAATAGGTCCCCTTTAAAGATCTGCAGTCAAATCAACAAAATATCTCAATAATTATTGGGTAGATTTTAAAGAAACTTTCAGGCAATAATCATTGTGATTGCCTCAGCTTAATAACATTTGGAGCCAACGTGATTTAAGATGGTCGCCACTGCTAATAAACCTTAGAAAACACAAAAATTATATAATTCAGGCAATTTTGCAGATCTTGAGGTATAATTTGGTGAGGTAGTAACGACTCCATACTCCAAGTCCTACCCAGTGTGTAAGATCTGTGCTTCAAATTTCGACATTAGCTTGTCAGCTGTAGCCATCGCAAAAAGGGCTACAACTTTGTTGGACAAATGCTGAGCTAAAACGTTGTGTGGTAGTAGCTGAGAGTCATTCGCAACACATTCTCGAAGGATGACATCATTTGTGCAAATCATTATTTTCCAGGTTTAACCAAAACAACTTCATCATGATGAAACATAACATGGTCTTTGTATGAAGCTCAGGCCTGAAAGGCAGCAGGTGATATGCAAACCTTTAACTGTATATTTACATGTGTGTGTTTGTGTGTACATTGTTGTCTTGTTCCATTTTAAAGCCATCCATGATCAAGGCTCCACAAACCAGCCTGCAGGCCCCCCACACAGTCCCCCTCCCTTGCTTTCTTCACCACCCCTCCTACTTCTGGTATTTGCACCAGAGGAGCTGGAGCTTCAGACAGTAATGGTTGTTGTTGGCCAGGTGGTGGGAAGTTAGTTTGCCCAGAGTGATGGATGTTGAGCAGGCTGTGTTCAACACGATCCAGACAGGAGGACTTGTCTGGACGTGATCAGATGGAGGGAGAGGGGGCTGTTGGGAGGGAAGGGGTGGCAGGGTAAGGAAATGGAAAACATGAAGCAGTTTGAGGTAAAGTGAAGAGATAAAACGAATGAAGGAGATCAAAGTGCTACAGAAGAAGATTGAATAATCTCAAAGAAGCAGGTAAAAGTAAAAGAGTGATCTGACTGGACTGAAAGAGTAACTTAAATTTGTGCAAAACATACAGAATGGGACAAAATTTTGATAGCATGCTGAATAATTTAGAGTTCAGTTTGAATTCTGTCGGTGGTGAGGTTGTGTTCTGGACAGATTTACAGATTTATGAGTTTAGAATCGATCCTAACCTGACTTGAAATTTTTCCTCTTCTTGATGTTTGCTGGTTCATGAAAA